CATAGACTCAACACTGCACCATAGACTCAACACTGCACCATAGACTCAACACTGCACCACAGACTCAACATTGCCCATAGACTCAACACTACCCATAGACTCAACACTGCACCACAGACTCAACATTGCCCATAGACTCATCACTGCCAATAGAACGATGCTATGCCCATAGACTCAACACTGCACCAGAGACTCAACATTGCCCATAGACTCATCACTGCCAATAGAACGATGCTATGCCCACAGATCCACAAATACATAGAAGAATATATTCACGGCCGCCACTGCTCATGCTGACGCGGTTATCTGTGGCTTAATCACCTGAATGTGAAATTGTAATTGTGTTGCTCTGCAATCTACATCAGCCATACGAAAGAAAACCATATCATCATCGGCAGCACGCCAGCATTCGTTGTGAAACCCCCCCCCCCCCCCCCCCCCCCCCCATAGCTGTGAAACTAAAACTATATTTTGTATTTCACCAGGTAAGGCGCTCTTGAGCTACGTAGCTCTTTGTCATTAGGGACGCGGCCACAAATGACAACTCGACGAAGGGGCTTGTCATCATCATCATCATCTGCACGTGGAAATGTACAGCAGACAAATAGCTCTAAACGCGTGGTGATGCTGATTCTAAATGTGGAGGGGAAAAAAACCGGAGGATCCGGAGAAAAATCCACGCGACCACAGAAAGAGACGCAGACTCCAAATATACGGCAGCAGGCGTCAAGGTTGGGATCGAACCCACGACCTCCTGTACGCCAGGCGAGGTAGTTAACATCTCACCACGGAGAGAGAGAGAGAGACACGCAAACTCCAAATATACAGCAGACGTCAGGGTCGGGATCGAACCCACGACCTCCTGAATACCAGGCGAGGTAGTTAACATCTCACCACGAAGAGAGAGAGAGAAACGCAAACTCCAAATATACAACAGGCGTCAGGGTCGGGATCGAACCCATGACCTCCTGAATACCAGGCGAGGTAGTTAACATCTCCTAGCCACCCTGAATAATGGACGACGTGTCGAAGTTTAGTAGTAATTCGATAATATCTAATCATAACCATTACAAAATAAACATGTTTAAATAAACTAATACCAAACCTGTCAACCCCTTATCAGTGCCCTACCTGATTACAGACCAATTCAGACCCTAATTGTCACCCCGTGCCACTTATAAATCTCAACTATCATTCTACAACGTCCCATCACAAGCTAGAAACACAAACACATAGACACAATTTTATTTTGCCCGTATTGAAACGGCTGTATGCTGTATGGACCTGAAAACTCAATTCCATCTACAATAATAGGGGATAAACCTCATGACGGGTATGCTACTATATATGTATCTCTATGGGTATCTATGTATATATATGGGTCTCTATCTATTTCTATGTTTCTCTATGGGTCTCTATGGGTATCTATCTATTTCTATGTATCTCTATGGGTCTTTGTCTATAATCGTACCTGTTCAACCCCTTATCAGTACCTTATTGCAGACCACTTGCCCCTTATAAATCTCAACGTTCATCCTACAAAATCCCATCACAAGGGAGAAACACAAATAGACTTTCCTTTGTTGTTGCCCGTATTGAAACGACCACGTGTAGACCAGGCGAGGTAGTTAACATCAACACCACCGTGACACCCAGCGAAATGACATCGCGTCGAAGTCTATCCCAGGACCAGTCAGAATGTTGCCAACTCTGCCTCGGGCAACAGATGGCGGCCGTGCGCCGTGGAACTCAGGAGGCTGCGATAGAGCGAGCGGTGGGAGAGAGGGAGAGAGTGCGAGAGAGAGAGAGAGTGTTGGTGTGCTGGTGTAAGGGGGTGTGGTGGTGGTTGCGGAGAGAGAAAGAGGAGGGAGTGGGAGAGCGCGCGAGGGGAGGGAGTGGAGTGCTGGAGGGGAGAGGGAGGGAGTGAGAGGTGGGTGGAGTGTGTGGGGTAGGAGAGAGAGAGGGAGAGCGTGATGAGTGTGGGTAGGAGAGAGAAAGAGAGAGTGAGGAGTGGGGAGTGTGTGGGGTAGGTGAGAGAGTGAGAGAGGAGTGGGTAGTGTGTGGGGTAGGAGAGAGAGAGAGAGGAGGGGGGAGTGTGTGGGTAGGAGAGAAAGAGTGTGAGGAGTGGGGAGTGTGTGGAGTAGGAGAGAGAGTGGGGAGTGTGCGAGAGAGAGAGTGTAAGGAGTGGGGAGGTGCAGGAGGAGGACGAGAAGAGAGGGAGGGGGGTGGTGGTTGCGGAGAGAGAAAGAGGAGGGAGTGGGAGAGCGCGCGAGGGGAGGGAGTGGAGTGCTGGAGGGGAGAGGGAGGGAGTGAGAGGTGGGTGGAGTGTGTGGGGGGCAGGTAGGAGAGAGCGAGAGAGGGAGCGTGATGAGTGTGGGTAGGAGAGAGAGAGAGTGAGGAGTGGGGAGTGTGTGGGGTAGGTGAGAGAGTGAGGAGTGTGTGGGTAGGAGAGAGTGTGAGGAGTGGGGAGTGTGTGGGGTAGGAGAGAGAGTGAGGAGGGGGGAGTGTGTGGGGTAGGAGAGAGAGTGAGGAGTGGGGAGTGTGTGGGGTAGGAGAGAGAGAGTGAGGAATGGGGAGTGTGTGGGTAGGAGAGAAAGAGAGTGGGGAGGAGGGAGTGTGTGGGGTAGGAGAGAGAGTGAGGAGTGTGTGGGGTAGGAGAGAGAGTGAGGAGTGGGGAGTGTGTGGGGTAGAAGAGAGAGAGTGAGGAGGGGGGAGTGTGTGGGGTAGGAGAGAGAGAGTGAGGAGGGGGGAGTGTGTGGGGTAGGAGAGAGAGAGAGGAGTGGGGAGTGTGTGGGGTAGGTGAGTGAGAGAGTGAGGAGTGGGGAGTGTGTGGGGTAGGAGAGAGAGAGGAGTGGGGAGTGTGTGGGGTAGAAGAGAGAGAGTGAGGAGGGGGGAGTGTGTGGGGTAGGAGAGAAAGAGTGAGGAGGGGGGAGTGTGTGGGGTAGGAGAGAGAGAGAGAGAGAGGAGTGGGGAGTGTGTGGGGTAGGAGAGAGAGTGTGAGGAGTGGGGAGTGTGTGGGGTAGGTGAGTGAGAGAGTGAGGAGTGGGGAGTGTGTGGGGTAGGAGAGAGAGAGGAGTGGGGAGTGTGTGGGTAGGAGAGAGAGAGAGGAGTGGGGAGTGTGTGGGGTAGGAGAGAAAGAGAGTGAGGAGTGTGTGGGTAGGAGAGAGAGAAGAGTGGGGAGTGTGTGGGGTAGGAGAGAGAGTGTGAGGAGTGGGGAGTGTGTGGGAAGGAGAGAGAGTGAGGAGTTTGCGAGAGAGAGAGTGTAAGGAGTGGGGAGGTGTAAGGAGTGGGGAGGTGCAGGAGGAGGACGAGAAGAGAGGGAGGGGGGTGGTGGTTGCGGAGAGAGAAAGAGGAGGGAGTGGGAGAGCGCGCGAGGGGAGGGAGTGGAGTGCTGGAGCGGAGAGGGAGCGAGTGAGAGGTGGGTGGAGTGTGTGGGGGGCAGGTAGGAGAGAGCGAGAGCGTGATGAGTGTGGGTAGGAGAGAGAGTGTGAGGAGTGGGGAGTGTGTGGGGTAGGAGAGAGAGAGGAGTGGGGAGTCTGTGGGGTAGGAGAGAGAGAGGAGTGGGGAGTCTGTGGGGTAGGAGAGAGAGGAGTGGGGAGTGTGTGGGGTAGGAGAGGGAGAGAGGAGTGGGGAGTGTGTGGGGTAGGAGAGGGAGAGAGATGAGAGGTGGGAGCGAAGTGTAAGTGGGGGGGGGGGGGTAGGAGAAAGAGAGTGAGAGAGAGAGAGTGTGGGAGGGGGGGTAGGAGAGTGTGTGTGGGGGGGGGGGGGGTAGGAGAGTGAGAGTGTGTGTGTGGGGGGGTAGGAGTGTGTGTGTGGGGGGGGGGGGGTAGGAGAGAGTGAGTGTGTGTGTGTGGGGGGGGGGGGGGTAGGAGAGAGTGTGAGTGTGTGTGGGGGGGGGTAGGAGTGTGTGTGTGTGTGGGGGGGTAGGAGTGTGTGTGTGTGTGGGGGGGTAGGAGTGTGTGTGTGTGTGGGGGGGTAGGAGAGAGTGTGTGTGTGGGGGGGGGTAGGAGTGTGTGTGTGTGTGGGGGGGTAGGAGAGAGTGTGTGTGTGGGGGGGGGTAGGAGTGTGTGTGTGGGGGGGAGGGGGGTAGGAGAGAGTGTGAGTGTGTGTGGGGGGGTAGGGGTGTGTGTGTGGGGGGGGTAGGAGAGAGTGTGAGTGTGCGAGAGAGAGCGTGAGGAGGAGGAGGAGGGGAGTTGCAGGAGGAGGAGGAGGAAGAGAGAGGGAGGAGGAGGAAGAGGGAGGGAGGGAGGGAGAGACGGAGACAGGACAACGGCTACCGCGTCTCATTTGTATTCCGGGCCGCGGGAGCCGCGAAGCTCTGCGCCGAGCCTTGGAGGGCGAAGAAGGAGAAGGGACGCGACTCCCCGTGCGTCCTGGAGCTGACCGATAATCCGAGAGGCGCGTGCGGTGTTAGTAGGAGGAGGAAGGTGGAGGGAGGTGGAGGAAGGAGGTGGAGGCGATTGCGACTGCGGTACTGAACTCACTCCCCCCCCCCTTTGAGGGTGAGATCGAGGGGAGCTCTCGCCGCGAGGAGCGTGTTAAGACGTTCACCTGGAGCCTCACACCTGCTTGGAGGTGGAGTGGTGGTGGTGGTGGTGTGTGGGTGGAGAAGAGACGCGCGCGCTCTCTCTACTCTCCACTCTATTTTCACCGGGATCCCACACTCGGATCGTGGCGCCTCTCTTGAAGCGCGTTGCTCCGGCCGGCTGCTGTTCCTTTGCCGATTGCTGTTCCACCTCCTCATCCTCCTCGTCGTCGTCCTCGTCCTCCTCCTCCCCGTGATCATCAGCTGGCTGTTGCCACCTCCCCCCCCCGGCTGCCTCCTCCTGCTCCTCCTCATCCGCGGGACCCGGCATCGAACACCACCCCCCCCCCTCCCCTCACTGCGCCACGGTGGATTCTGTACGGCCAGCGGCCCCTTTGGATGTTTACGCTGGGGGCTGAGAGGGGCTGAGAGGGGCTGAGGGGGGCTGAGGGGGGCTGAGGGGGGCTGAGGGGGGCTGAGGGGGGCTGAGGGGGGCTGCGGCGGCGGTGGTGGTGGCGACGGCGGCTGCGGAGCGGACTGCGCAGGTGAGAGGAAGGGAGAGAGTGCGGGGAGAGACAAGGAGAGAGTGCGGGGAGTGTGGAGAGTGTGGAGAGTGTGGGGAGAGAGTGTGGGGTGAGACAAGGAGAGAGTGCGGGGAGTGCGGGGAGTGTGGAGAGTGTGGAGAGTGTGGAGAGTGTGGGGAGTGTGGGGAGAGAGTGCGGGGAGTGTGGAGAGTGCGGGGTGAGACAAGGAGAGAGTGTGGGGAGAGAGTGCGGGGAGAGTGCGGGGAGTGCGGGGAGTGTGGAGAGTGCGGGGAGAGAGTGCGGGGAGAGAGTGCGGGGAGAGAGTGCGGGGAGAGAGTGCGGGGAGAGACGAGGAGAGAGTGCGGGGAGAGACGAGGAGAGACGAGGAGTGTGGAGAGTGCGGGGAGAGAGTGTGGGGAAAGACGAGGAGAGAGTGCGTGGAGAGACGAGGAGTGTGGAGAGTGCGGGGAGAGAGTGCGGGGTGAGACGAGGGAAAGTGACGCGAGATGAGCGTTGGAGGGCAGATGAGGGGTTGAGATTAGAGGCGGTGAAGAGAGAGGAGGTGATGAGAGATGAGGAGATTCTAGAGATGATGATGAGAGGGAGGTGATGGAGAGGTGCGAGATTGTGACGAGGAGGCAGGTTCCGAGGTGAGACGAGAGGTAGAGAGAGATTAGACGAGGTGAGGCGATGTCAAGTCAGACGACGCAAGGTGAGAGGTGACATCTGAGGTAACGAACTAACTAATTTTTTTAAATTTTATTTTACCCGGTAAAGGCCCCGCTGGGCAACTATATAGCTTATTTTCTTTTTAAGAAACGATCTGGTTATCACAAATGACGAAGTGGACTTCATCATCATCATCATCACCACCACCACGTAGAAATGTATTATCAGCAGTCAAACACTCTGAACGCAGAGACCCATAGAGATGAATATAGACCCATAGACCATGTGAAAATGTAACGAATTTTATTTACCAAGTAAAGGCCCCATTTTTTTTGTCAGAAGCGACTTTGGCCATCACTAAATAATCGCTCAACGAAGTGGTTTATGAACAACAACAACAACATCATCATCATCATCACCAACGTGGAAATATTTCGCAGCAGACAGATACTCCGAACGCATAGCGACCCATAGAGACACACAGAGATTCACACGGAGATTAATCGATGCGAATTGTTAAAAATAACATTAGAGCCATTTTTGATTTAAAGCTTTCGTGACTGCAGGGATTCATATTCGTGTTTCTTTCGCTAAAGTCACCGCGTAGAAGGGAAACAATAAAATAATATATATTTTAATTATTTTATTGTTTCCCTTCTACGTGAAAGAACCAAGAATATCAAGAATATCAGAGCCATTGCTTGCCGATCCACTGCTGGATGAGGCTTTCCACAAGACGTGTGGGTGTTGGTGGTGAGGGTTTTTGTTTGACCATACTTCACCACGCGGGTCCGATGCGGGTTGTTAAAGACGGAGGGAGCAGAGATTTTGGAAGCATCGGGACATCTTTGTTAAAAAACAAACAAAAGGAGCTTGATAGCTCATCGGATTCCTTCTAGTGTAAATATATATTTATTTCTGATTGTAATAGTGCGTGATGTAAGTACGATGTGAAGGTAAAATGCGCGGGAGATTCCTGGTGAGGCAAAGACGAGGTGAGGCAGAGAGACGAGGTGAGGAGGAGACGAGGTGAGGTAAAGACGAGGTGAAGACGAGAGACGAGGTGAGGCAAAGACGAGGTGAGGCAGAGAGACGAGGTGAGGAGGAGACGAGGTGAGGCAGAGAGACGAGGTGAGGTAAAGACGAGGTGAGGCAGAGAGACGCGGTGAGGAGGAGACGAGGTGAGGTAAAGACGAGGTGAAGACGAGAGACGAGGTGAGGCAAAGACGAGGTGAGGCAGAGAGACGAGGTGAGGAGGAGACGAGGTGAGGCAGAGAGACGAGGTGAGGTAAAGACGAGGTGAGGCAGAGAGACGCGGTGAGGAGGAGACGAGGTGAGGTAAAGACGAGGTGAAGACGAGAGACGAGGTGAGGCAAAGACGAGGTGAGGCAGAGAAACGAGGTGAGGCAGAGAGACGATGTGAGGCAGAGAGACGAGGTGAGGCAGAGAGACGAGGTGAGGCAGAGAGACGATGTGAGGCAGAGAGACGAGGTGAGGTAAAGACGAGGTGAGGACGAGAGACGAGGTGAGGAGGAGACGAGGTGAGGCAGAGAGACGAGGTGAGGCAAAGACGAGGTGAGGCAGAGAGACGAGGTGAGGAGGAGACGAGGTGAGGCAAAGACGAGGTGAGGCAGAGAGACGAGGTGAGGAGGAGACGAGGTGAGGCAGAGAGACGAGGTGAGGCAAAGACGAGGTGAGGCAAAGACGAGGTGAGGCAAAGACGAGGTGAGGCAGAGAGACGAGATGAGGAGGAGACAAGGTGAGGTAAAGACGAGGTGAGGCAGAGAGACGAGGTGAGGAGACGAGGTGAGGCAAAGAGACGAGGTGAGGAGGAGACGAGGTTGGGGAGCAGAGACGAGGTGAGGAGAGGTGAGAGACAAGGTGAGGAGAAAAGAGGTAATGCGAATCAAATAAGAAACGGTGTGAGATTCAATGTGAGGTGAATATTATTCGAGGGAAGATGATGTGGGGAGAGTAGATGAGGTGATATAGATGAGGAGATACGAGATGAGGTGAACGGGGAGATGAAAGACTTGGTGAGGAGGTGAGAGGCGTGGTGAGGAGGAGGGAGTGAGAGACGTGGTGGTGAGGAGGTGAGAGACGTGGTGAGGAGGAGGTGAGCGACGTGGTGAGGAGGTGAGAGACGTGGTGAGGAGGAGGTGAGAGACGTGGTGAGGAGGAGGATTACGACGTGGTGAGGAGGAGGTGGGAGACGTGGTGAGGAGGAGGTGAGCGACGTGGTGAGGAAGAGGAGAGAGACGTGGTGGTGAGGAGGTGAGAGACGTGGTGGTGGTGGTGGTGGTGAGGAGGAGGTGAGAGACGTGGTGAGGAGGAGGTGAGCGACGTGGTGAGGAAGAGGAGAGAGACGTGGTGGTGAGGAGGTGAGAGACGTGGTGGTGAGGAGGAGGTGAGAGACGTGGTGAGGAGGAGGTGAGCGACGTGGTGAGGAAGAGGAGAGAGACGTGGTGGTGAGGAGGTGAGAGACGTGGTGGTGGTGGTGGTGGTGGTGGTGAGGAGGAGGTGAGAGACGTGGTGGTGGTGGTGGTGGTGGTGGTGAGGAGGAGGTGAGAGACGTGATGGTGATGGTGAGGAGGTGAGAGACGTGGTGGTGATGGTGAGGAGGAGGTGAGAGACGTGGTGGTGGTGGTGAGGAGGAGGAGGTGAGCGACGTGGTGGTGGTGGTGAGGAGGAGGTGAGAGACGTGGTGGTGATGGTGAGGAGGTGAGAGACGTGGTGGTGATGGTGAAGAGGTGAGCGACGTGGTGGTGGTGAGGAGTAGGTGAGAGACGTGGTGGTGGTGAGGAGTAGGTGAGAGACGTGGTGATGAGGTGAGAGACGTGGTGGTGATGGTGAGGAGGTGAGAGACGTGGTGGTGGTGAGGAGGAGGTGAGAGGCGTGGTGAGGAGGAGGTGAGAGACGTGGTGATGAGGTGAGAGACGTGGTGATGAGGTGAGAGACGTGGTGGTAGTGAGGAGGAGTAGGGAGAGTCACGCACTGCAGGTGCCGTGGCACGAGTGGACAATTTTCCCGCGCTGCGTCTCTACCGTGAGGAGAGAGCGAGCGGACCCGTGGTGTGAGGCAAAAAATATAATAATTATACAATAAAACGATGATGTGTTAATAATAACAATGATGATGATTTAGTTAAATGTGAGGAGAAGGCAGGGAGCATAGACGTTTCGAGCGATGGCCCTTCTCCATAGCACATGGAGAGCCATTGCCCGAAACGTCGCCTATTATGTGTATTTTTCTGAATCGTGAGGAGAGCTTTTATGGTGAGAATTTTTTTAAAAAAAAAAATCTATAATAGGCGAAGATTCGGGCCAATGGTCTTCATGCTGTGGAGCAGGGCCATTGCCCGAAACGTCGCCTATTGTATACTCGTTCCCCCCGTGTAGCCTTAACAGACTGTTGGGGGCAAGTGCTGTTAGCGAACAGCACCTCCGTGGCGATGTTTACTACACACCGCACCAGGTACTAATTTGAGGCTGAGTCGACCTAGAGGAGGCCCAGGACCGGTTCAGACAATCGTCACCGGTGGTGTTGGTCGTGAGCGGGAATCTAAATCGGGTCGCCGGGTTCGTAGCGCAGCATAGCGCTAACCGCTCCACTACCGCACGTACACAGACACACACACACACAGGCACCCACACACAGAGACACACACACACAGGCACACAGACACAGAGACACACACACACACAGACACACACAGACACAGAGACACACACACAGACATACACACACACAGACATACACACACAGACATACATACAGACATACACACAGATACAGAGACGCACACAGACACACACAGACATACACACACAGACATACACACAGACATACACACATACACAGAGACACACACACAGACATACACACAGACACAGAGACACACACACAGACATACACACACAGACATACATACAGACATACACACAGACATATACACAGACATACACACACAGAGACACACACAGACACAGAGACACACACACACAGAGACACACACACAGACACAGACATACACACACAGACATACACACAGACATACACACAGACATACACACAGACACAGAGACACACACACATACACACACAGACATACACACACAGACATACACACACAGACATACACACACAGACATACACACAGACACAGAGACACACACACAGACATACACACACACAGAGACACACACACAGACACACACAGACATACACACACAGACATACACACACAGACATACACACAAAGATAAACAAAGATAAAGATCCCCCATATAGCCTTAACAGACTGTAGGGGCAAGTGCTGTTAGCGAGCACCTAGACATACACACAGACACAGA